CCGTATCTCTTTTCAATCTGCGCCAACGAATGTAACAATTGCACACGTACATGCACATGACATAAGAACATCGGCTGAGGTTAGCTGCAAGTATTTGGTCCTACACACTAGCCCAGTCGAAAAGTAGCTCAGAAACGCGAGTATTTTAAGAATATGGTGATCTCCTGAACAAGTTCAAAGGAGAGCGAAGAAGATGGTCGACGGTCTTTACGCCTGACCCTACTAGGACGGATTGTAGTAGTTTGTTTTACAGGCATTTACAGTGTAGCCTACTCCGCATAATTCAGATTATCCAGAGTGATGGCTCCTCCTTGAGACCGGAGGATTTCTTCGAGTTTTTCTGTAAAATTCAACTACGTAGTCACCCAGACAAGGTCATTAGCGAATGAACTCGATTAGACCTCAGCTAACGTATGGTCGATCGTGGATCTCGCTACACAGCGAGACGTATACCACCTTCAACGACAACACTCAACCAGTCTCAGTGCCTCCTTACAAACTGCCAGCGTTGCACACTTGGCTCTGAAGAACAAATCTTTGGATTTCTTTAAAGTCTTTCAGGGGCGATCTCTCCGAAATACACGAAATCTCTGTTCAACAGCTAACGGACTCCTTACAAATTTGGCATTTCGGCTCAGTGAGACCCGCTTCTCTGAAAAGGTACGCCAATAAGAGGTAGATTACGAAGCGATATTTTAAATTTAGTTATCAATTATCAGGTCTTCTAACATGCCTAACGCCCGAATGCATATCCGTATTTATGACATAGTTTTAGTGACTTTGAATCAGGGCGCGCATACAAAAAGTCTAAGGCGTGCATACCCCAGGGGTGCACGTCTGGGTCTTCAAACTCACTAGTGAGCGAAAGAAGCTCGGAGGCAATCCCGCCATGTGAAATTTGCCAGCTTGCGCGGCTGACTTTGTTTGATTTACAAATTTCACGAACGGGTAACATGCTTGCAAACATAATTGTAATTATGTTTGTAAACATGTTAAATAGTGTAATAGTGAATTCACTATTACACCTTGTCCCCTTACTTATTTAAATACCCATAATCGCTACTAATCAACTCACTGTTTCTTTCTTTGTCCGCTGCTGGAAGTTTTAATCCACTATTTATGACTAATGTCTTCTAGTCCTATGTATGTGCCAGTGTATGCAAAAATACGACGCGAATGCGTTTGTGGATGTAATAAGTGTATTAAAAATTAACGCAGGTTACAATGTGCATTGTATTCAACGTTTCGATAGCCTACAAAATGACTTCGTTGAATGGGTTTCGTCGTTTTTATTTAAATATTC